GTCTACAATTTAAAATTATTTAAAAGTATTTTTTTTTAATAACACATAAATATAATTAAACACAATTTTGGTTTTATTTTATAATCCTTTTTGCTCTAGATAGTTATTTATTTTATTTAATTTATTTATTAAATTTTAAATTTATTTAAAAAATATTAACAATCAGCATAAAATTTATTGAAAACATAATTACTATGTATGTTTTTAATAATAAAAAAATGTATCACTAAATATTTTCACCCAAGTTCAATGTGATTCTTTTACAATGAAACTAAAGTGATAAATCAATTGACCTTTTCGGTCAGACAAAAAAACAGCAAAGATATTTGATATGATTAACATAGTAGTAATTTAATCTTAAAAAAATGTTATTCTAAAATTATATCTTTTTGAATTTATTTTTTCACATATATTCATGAACAAACAAAAATACTATTTTTATCCATATTTTAAATCAGTCGTTAACCAACTGATATAAATTAAATATGATTTACATTTTAATGATTTTATGATGATTTTATTGGCCTAAAAAACAAATATAATAAACCATGTCTTATATTAGCGAAATTATATTCTATGGTTAAAAGCAAATGTCAAAAATGTCAAATATATCTTTATGAAATTTTAATTTTTTTATATCTAATTCACAATGTAAATGTGCAGAAATCAACCCATATATGGATAATAATATTTTTTCACAGTTTTAAGTCAATCGGAGTAAAACCATCAAAAAACAAAATGGTGTTTCATATTTAAATATTTTTACAAGATAAAAATGTAAAAAACAAAAAAGTCATTTGTAAATGACTTATGGCAACTTTAAATTATTCCCTTATTTTAGAGCTTTAACAATAGAACCTCCTCTTAAAACTTTTTGCAATGCAAATCATTTTTAGTGGTCATGTATAATTTCGTTTTTAATACCTCATCTTAACGTTAAAGTTGAAGACAAAGGAGGACGCAAAGCTCCCGGTATTTGAATAAACATCGCACAGGCGAAACTTGCAAATTTTAAGAAAGTCTCGGCAGACCTCTATTAAGTTCTAAACACATTCTTCGCCTTAAATGCGATGCGAATATTCTTTGGAGCTAAACGAGACAAGAAGAAGTTATTTCCGGATTTTGCAAACTTCTTAAACGTCACGTCCGGTTGCTGCTGCTGCTGCTGCTGCTACTCCTGCTGAGCCAACTAAAGCATAATACCGATGTTCTTAATATCTTAATAAACCTTGCAATGAATAATATATACAATCTTTGCAGTTTCTGCTACAGCATCCACTCTATTATATTCGGCTGCGTTAAAGAGATATTTTCAACTTTCAAGGACGTCCGCAATTAATTAAACACCACCCTAATGTTTTCAGTATTGAGTCTTTTCACAAAAATATAACCCCAGTTCACATTCCTTAAAAACACTAATTTGAGACCTTACACTGTTTAAAAAGAGTAATCTTAAAATGGTGTCAAATGGTGTCAAAATCCAACACCAAGTGGTGTTAATATAACACCTTGAATTATGGTTGAAAATGTTATATACAGCAAACACCAAAACGGTGTTTATCTAAAAATATTTGAGAAGTGCACCTACCCAGAAAAAAAGAAATAGTTCATTTGCCTATATTAATTTAGTTAAGTATTTATTTAAATCAACTGTGGTAAAGATTAGTTTGAAGGTACTAAATCAAATAGTTATATATTTTTTTTAAATTGGTTAATTAACCCAGAAAACTTTAGTGAAACCAACCCGCTGTATGGTTTAGTTTACTAAATATGTTGTTTGTAAAATAAGAGTTAATTCAACCTAAAGCACTCTGTTAAAACGATTAAAACAATTTGCCGTGCATTCCCGGTTGCATAGTGTGTACCGATCGCGGCACAGGCGGTGTGGATCACGTGATGTTCTTAAATCTCGCCTCTGTTGACTCACATGAAGAGTATATAAGCTCAGGTAGTCCTTTGCTTTGGTGTGACACTACAAGTTGTTCGATACTAAAGAGACCTAAAATAGGTGAAAACAGCTGTCAATACTTGAAGTATTTTAAGTTAGTGGAACACACTAAAAACATTATCTCTAGCGAGTTGAAGGTTCAATATTCTGGAATAATACCACTGGTAATATACTAGTAATGCGTCAAGGAACTTCCTGTTTCCTTTTTTTTTTTCCTTTTTTCTGTGTAGTATGATTTAATTTGTCCAAAAACACATAATATTTAACACTGAAAAGGAGTACAATTTACACCAGGTAAAATTTATTTTAATACTGTGTGAAAGTTAAATTAACACTATTGTAGTATTTGAATTTACACCGGACCAACGAACCATATTTAACACCATTTTGGTTTGTATCGATATAGACCATGTATGGTGTTAATTTGGTGTTAAAATGGTCATGAAATTTTGAACAGTGTACCATCTACTTTTGTTGAAACAGTTTTTTGTATTTATCCTCCTAATTCGAACTATTGGTTTATTTAAGTGGGAACTGTTTATTTAATGCCCCATAAAGTTTTACGAACTGTATATTCCCAAATGAGTGGATACGGCAGAGCAAAGGATATTCGGAATATTTAATTTTTAAGCAACTCTCTCTCCGAGAGCAATACGATTTTCGCCTCAGTCGAGCATCTGTTACGCAAGAAAATACAATGTTCAAAAAGGAAATTAGATAAATTTCTCGGTGCGGAAGCTTTACGGAAAAACCGTGAGCAGATGAAATTTACACTTACCGTTCTGTAAATATCTGGGTTAATGCGCTAAACTGCCATATCATTCTGTTTATGAATATGATTTAAAAAGGCCAAAACCCCCCAGCAAAGTGGTGTAATAGAATGGATTTACCCGATATTATACAGGTGTCACCAAATAATAATAATTAAGGGGATAGTAGGTACACACATTGATGCTCATGTATCTATTTGTGTTTCACAAAATCATAACAAATTTCCAACTATCAACTATTTCATACAAAGTTGAGCGGCGAAAATAATTATAATGTATCGCTCTTGCAATCATATCCGGATAATTTTGGATTTCATCTGCCGCTGCAGTAACAAGTTCGCGGATTTTTTCTAATGTGTCAACTTGGCTCTGGAACACTGAATCGAATGAATCAATGAGAACAAAGTACCTACTAACCGATTTAAAATAAGTTTAAAAGTTTGTTTGATATTACATAATACGAAGTGGGTTCAGAAAATATCGGGAATTTTCGTTTTTTGAAACAAATATTTATTTATTCGTTTACATTAATGTTGTCGCCTTCAAAATAGTCCCCATTGGATATTATGCACATGTGCCAGCTCTTCTTCCAATACTCGAAACACTTCTAAAACTCGATCTTTGGGATAGCCTTTAGTTCTTTCAGCGATGCGCTTTTAATGTCATCTATGCTTGCAAAACGACGGCCCTTTAAGGTTTTCTTTATTTTTGGGAATAGGAAAAAGTCAGACAGAGGCATGTCTGGCGAATATGGAGGCTGGGGTATCATTACAGTATTGTTTTTGGCCAAAAATGTTGTTCAAAATTTAACAATTTTAGAACAAATTTTGCTGCCACGCGTTTCATACCCAAAACATTCGAAAAAATTTCATGGGATGAGCCAATCGATATACCAACATCATCAGCGACTTCTCTGATGGTTTATAACCATTTCTTCCACTTTTTCCATGTTTTTATCGGTTGTTAATGTGCTTGTGCGTTCGGAGCGTTCGTCATCTTCAACGTCTTCACGGCCATCTTGGAAACTCTTATACCACTTGTAAACTCTTGTTTTACTTATAGCAGACTCACTATATGCCTTTGTTAACATTTCACAGAATTTATTTAATTTTTAAGCAAAATTGGATACAAATTCTTTGATCCATTTCTTTTAACGAACGAAAAATCGCCGAGCTCATAAAACACGTCTAACCTTAGGGGCTGCCACAGACAAAGTAAACAATGAAAACAGCTAAAGTTTTTATCATACTTCGGGGGCATGTATACCAACATAATAAAGAAAATTTTATGACAACCGGACCCTCCGAACCCGCGAAATTTAACAATTCCCGTTATTTTCTGAACACACCTCGTATAGTCGCGGCCAAATCTATATGGGTGAACGTCATCAATGAGATATAATGACGTCAGGATTACCAACTTTGAATTGTAAAGTTACTGCAGTTAAATTTGCTTTTTAAGGGCGTAATTCTGATGTGTTATAAAAAAATATCAATCATTTGCGTATTGTTTACCAAAAACTGTAACAATTTCCCTGTTTTAAAAGGCTTTTTACGAAATTATGAAAATAAAATCATTCACTTAGTAAATTTTGTGTGTGCCAGTTGCTAATAGCTTAAGGCTCGCGCGCACTGTTTAATATTATTGATGGGTCACTGTCATTTTATATATATTTGACGTTTTTTTGTAATTTCGTCTATAAGCATAGTTTGTTGCAAAATAATATAAATAATTTAATACATTGTGTTTATTATATTCTTCCACTGGATTGTTCAAACAATGTTAGTGTAGAGATATTAACAATGATGTTATAATTTCATCCTAATAAACAGTCCCCATCGCTATAAACAGCCAACAATACACAGCGTTAGATTGTGCGTGGGCACGTATAAATAGACCTTAACGCTGACTTCATATGCCGTTGATGAAATGCACCCATGCAGATTTGGCCGCGACTATAATTTAATTTGGTCGTAATAGTTTAATAAAAAGAAAATATTTATTTCCATCAATCAGCCTGTTATGTCGACGGAGTCTTTTAAAAGTAAAAAGTAAAATATTTTACGTTCAAGTGGGTTAGTTGGGAAAAGTTTCGAGTGACATAAAAATGTTGGCTGGTTGACTAGGATAATGCGATCGTATTAGGAAAAAACTTTTATAAATTACTGTCATCAACTAGAAACACTTGAGGAACTTTTGCAGATTTAAGGATTAGTGGTTTTTTGTTATATCAACTTTAATTTTTTGCTCGCGGTTATAGTTTCATAAGTTTAAATTTTATGCTGTATTAACTTTTTATTTTATCGGGGCATAAAATTATATGACATCTTCAATAAATCAACACAGTTTTTTCGTTTTACGTTATGGTATCAAATATTCCTTCGGATTACAGTCGTACATACATTTCGCTAATTCGTAGGCTGCCTGACATTTATCTTCAAATGTTTTTACTGCAATAAATATAGGTAGGTATAAAAAAATATTATGAACATTTGTGGTTAATTACTCGAATCTTTACATTGTTCCATACAAGCAGCTGTTGGTGCTTTTCTTTCTTCCGGTAAAGTTTTTAACTGCATTTGCGCTGTTTCAAGATTGAAAGTGTTGTCCTTGTTCATCTAAAATTATAAAATATATATTATACAATATATGTATAATATAATATAATTTTTACCAATTTCATATAGTTGATACAGCAGTGAAGGTAGCACTAAAAAGTAAAAATAATAATATTATTTACACTGCGCAAAAATAACGCATAATAAGAAAAAAAATGTAACTCTAAAAGGCCTTTACCAATCTTTATGAAATTTTGTATAAGAATACTGCAACATATCTCAGTTTACGTGTTCGAGGGTTTTTCGAGAAAATATTATTAAAGCCCTTTTATTTAATATTAAAAAACGCTCGAAAAAAAACTTTTATAGGGAATTTTTTTAAGTAAATAAAAAATATGCTGTTAAAGACCGTATTTTTGTTAGTATACCCTGAAAATCTAGCTTCTCTATTATGCATAAGAATATCTGTATCAAAGGTAGGTTAATATATAAATAACAATAACAAAAAATATCAGTTAATTTTGTAATTTTAAGGTTAGAGAAATCTATTTTGGCCAAAATAAATAAGTATTTTGGATTATTTGGAAGAGTGTGTTAATGTGGTCATATCAATGGTATACTAAGCAATTGTTGAATATGGTTCAAATTAAATTAAAGCTTTTTTACTTCTTATGACAAATCTTATGCATACCTTCTTTAAGTGAAAGTTAAATTGTTAATTGTGTTTATACCTATGTTTTAAAAATTCAATAGCTTACCTTCTTAATGTTTCTTACAGCTAATATACCCATACTGTCAATACAAGTACCTATTAAACATATACATAATTTGATCTACATCGAACAATCATTATAACCTTATAACTTTTAAAATTTAAATAAACCCCACAGTATAGGAGTATCTAATATTTTTACTTTACAATTTCTTCTAAGAAAGTATGCCTATAGTATACATAAAGTTTTGTTAATACAAGTCGACTGAATTTGATCTACATTTAAAATTTTAATAAATCACATGTTATGGGAGTATTAAATATTTATACAATGCGTTTCTATAAAAATCGTTTATGTTAACTTAACTTAAAGCAGGTATGCATACGTTTTGTCGTTAAAAGTATAAAACCTTTAATTTAACTGACCAACTTCCAGCTGGCCTGTAAAAATTAATTTACAAAGCTTGACACGTAAATATCTATCATAATAATTATTAGTAATGATTATTGAATTGTAATACTAATTATAATAAATAAAAAAACTATACATTTTGCATATACATTAGGGTGTCCCAAAAAAAAAACGAATTTTTTTTTATTGTCTCTTGTAAAAATATGTTGGTTTATCATGCCGTAAGAGCCCTTTCAAAATATCAGCTCGATTAAAAATTTTGTAGGGATCGCTCAAGATTTTTAAAAATTTTCAAAATCGTCAAAAATTGAATTTTTGTTTTATTTTAATTCTTTTTCTCGTCTCGATATTATTTTTTAGGTTGAAAATAATAAAAATTCTGTAAATTTCAAATCAATATTTTGATTTCTAAAGGTCGCTAAAAGTTCGTTGATATTTATATTCAGAGGTCGCTCTTGAGCGACCTTTAGAAATTAAAATATCGATTTGAAATTTTCAGAATCATTATTATTTTTAAATTAAAAAATAATATCGGAACGAGAAAAAAAATTAAAATTAAAAAAAATCCAATTTTTGACGATTTTGGTAATTTTTAAAAATCTTGAGCGACCCCTAAAAATTTTTTAATGGTGCTGATCTTTTGACAGGGCCCTTAAAACATGACAAACCAACATATTTTCACAAGAGACGAGAAGAAAAAAAATATTCTTTTTTTTTGGGACACCCTAATATACATATATGTATATATAAAAATTACCATGGCATTTTGGTCGATATCCCAAATTCCTTCATGCATTCCATCTACGGCCTCTGTTAAAAACGGCATTAAAGGGATAAAGGGATAAAAACACGATTTCCGTTTTAAACCGCAGACACAGTGGGTCAAAATGTCACTTTTAACTTTACAAATAATTGATAAAATCAGTTTTATACTTTAAAAATGCATTTTTGATATTTATATTTTTTGGAGTTATTTTAAAAGTAAAACGTATGCAACAGAAGCAGGTGCAGTATCGTGGATAAAATGTTAGAGGGCGATTTGAACAAAATTTGTATTTTTGTATGGAAGTTGGTAGCAGACATTTTGAGCACTTAATAAATTAATAAATTATTCTTATTATTTTTCTGCCAAAAATTTCTTCTCTGTAATTTTTTATTTGAATAAGAAACAAAGTGTGTTTTGCAAATTCAATTTTAAATATCCCAAAAATTAAATATTAAGTATTATACTTGCCCATTTAAATTTTGAAATACTTTTGGTGTCAGTTTTCAGCCAAAGGTTTCATAATAATGTTAAAAAAATATATCCTGCATTTTAAGTTATCGAGATAACTTTTTGATCCACTGTGAAACGCAAAACGATACAAACCATTTGTTGCCTTTGATTTTGGCTGGCACACGTTACGCACCATTTTGCTGGTGGCTTTTAATTGCTGCTCGGTCATCTAAAACATCGGAAAAATTAATAAAAAATGTCCCAAGCACTTAATGTTGTTCTTTTACGTACACAAAACGCAGAACAGATGAAAAAAATTACGCAAAACACTGGGGACCACCGCTTCGACCACATTTTGGCGAATCTAAACGACATAAAGACCAACCGTAAAATGTTTTGGGTTTTAAATATTAAAATACGAAGTTAATAAACGTGTTATTACTATTCAATAATTCGAGTGCCTTGGTTAAATGTATGAAATTTTAGTTGGTAATTAAAAAAATTCACTGTAATTTTGACGAGCGAAAGGAAGTTACGCAGGAAGCCATGGCAGTGCTTATTTGCATGTTTCTGTATAATTAATAAAAACGTCTCAATTACTAAAGGGAAATACCACATGATACAAAAAATGTCATTTTCCTAATCAATGCACGGTAACAAATAATTAACACAGCATTACACGCCCAAACACCAAACTGTGTTATTCCGTCCCCACGAAATCGTGTAAAATTTTAACACAGTATCAGTGTGTTGATTTGTTTTTTATATCGTGTAATAATTTACACGAAGAATAATTAAACTTTAACACGTTGTTTGTGTAATTTTTACACAACTTTATATATTAAATTTAACAGCAGTTAGTGTTATTGTTTAATATTTTAGCGTGTTAAATTTAACACTTTTATTAAAAAAAAAATATTTTATAATTTCAATTAGACATAATATTATATTATAATATAGGTATTTATATAAAACAAATTATTAAAAACATTAAAAAAACAACTTTAAAACTGTTAAAAACAAATACTGCCCTGCTTAGCTAAAAGGCTGCATCTACAATATAAAGTAATAAAGGAAACAAGATAATTTTAATTGTTATAACGTACTTACCTAAAGAATATAAAATGTCATGTGTTACTGGCAAATTTGCCATTACCCACTATGTTTCCTGAACTCATAGTTCTAATTTCATATTACATATAAAGGGGTAAGAAGCAAAAGGGTACAAGTGCAAAAAAGAGAAGTGGAGTTATTAACTTTTAAAGTTTTTGCGATATACAAAAATCTGGATACTTGTTTCAATATTGTTGTGTGCATTAATTAACATTCAGAATTTTCTCAATATGAGAAAATTTAAAAAAAATTGACTCTAAACTACCCAATTCTGCACTTAAATTATTTTCATGCTAAAATGCACTTGTACCCTTTTGCTTCTTACCCCTTCATATGTATATGAATGCATTTATTAACGTTGTATCACAAAATAATCTTTTATAAGAAAAACACCAGCACAATATATCTATAAACGCGCATAAAACAAGCAAACACACACAATGGCGATTAGCTTGGGATATTTGTTAAAATTTACACAACTTTGTGTAATATAACACAAAATTTATTAAATATGAGTTTATAACACATTAACGTGTAATTTAACGAGTCGTTACGCGTTTTAGGAATTTAGGAACATTTGTGTAAAAGTATTTACACGATTTTTACCCAAAAATTTTAACACAAAAAAAAAGAATTTACACACTAATATTTTTGCAGTGTGCTTTAAGTAAAATACTTTTATACTCCCTTACTAATACAATACAATAGTATTTAAGTGAAACAAAACATGATTTTGATGGGATTAAATTTGTCGAAGTCTATTTAGAGGTATTAATGCCGTTCTAAGCCTGATTGGATTAGTCGATGCTGCTCATTTTTCATTGTCTGCCAGGATTAACGGCGAGCCGTAATGGATTTTGGACACTTGCGTCCGAAACTGTTAAGATCTCGTTCTAGCCGATTATAGGTAAAGAGCATAATACAGGGAATGCTTAATCAACTACGAAAGCTCGGGAGTGAATTTCGATTTGTTTAAAGACCATATTTTGCAAGGCAAAGCTCACGCAGCGAGATATAATGACAAGTTTACAGATTTTGTAAAATTAAATGGACTCGAGTAAAGAATTGATATACAAGTTTTTGGCTTATAACCCAGTTGACAATCCAGCAATCACATATTCACCGAGGATGGGACAAAGAGAGTGACGGTAATCCTAGAAATGTTTGTGTTTGACAGAGATATTTAACGAAGCGTTCAATCACGTAGAATTTCCTGCGGAAGTAGCAGGATATTTTCGCTTCAAAAAATATTTTCGCTTTTCCTACTTATCTGATTTTGCGGTTCGTTCAATCATCGCGGGATCTGCGGCCAATAATAATAAGTGTAACAAAACTTTGGGATATTCTTGAGAGAAAATCTCATTGTCTTATATTAACTCCAAGAATTACACTGTTTTAAGATTAACAAAAAATATTTTCCATAGATAAGTTTTTTAAAACGCGTTACGAAAAATGAAACGCCTTACCAAATATGAAACCCACACGCTTGCCTGTAAATACAAAATTTATATTTAATAACAATAAAATTTATATTTGATTATTTCCCTCATTATAAAATGAACCAATCAAAAGCCTTGAATTTTCGAATACATTTTGTTTAGATAAGAGATTAAATTACTAGATCTAAAATTAATTTAATTTATTTTGAAAACAAATTTTTGTTTTGGATCAATTACACAGGCACACAAAAAATTAGTTGTCTGCGACATGAATAAAACAATAAAATTCCCATGTATTTTCCGCTGAAACTGAATCTTTTACTTCTAATCTGAACTTTTTATTATAGTATAGTTTAACGAAAAAAAGACAAAAGAAGTAAAGAATTAAAAAATACAAAAGTAGTCGAAAAAGTATAAGAAAAAAAGGCACAAAGTTAAAAAAAACAAAAAAGTAAAAAAACAAAGAATTAAAAAAAGTAAAAACAGAGTGAAACAAAGAAATTAAAAAGTAAAAAAAAGTCAAAAAGTCAAACGGAGGCAAAAAGAGGTAAAAAATACAAAAATTCAAAAACGTCAAACAATAATAAAAAACTTGAGAAAATCCGTATCGGGATCAAAAAGTCAAATTATGTGATTATTAAGAAACAAAATTTTCATTTATATATATATATATACTTAAATACACAAAAATATTAAACCCCGTGTTAATTTTACTTAATAACACTTAAAACACTTAGAAGTTGCTAATTTTACTTGTTTTATACACTAATAGTATATTATATACTATACTATACTACACTAAACTTTATCTATGACAAAAACTTATTATACCTAAAAATGATTTAAATTAAATATTTGTATAGAACGACATCTAAAACAATAAAGTAACCATTTTTGGGAATCTGCATTACCGTCGCGCCGGTCAAATGTCAAATATTATGTGAAAATCGAAATGTATCCCTTGAAAATGGACCGTTTAAATCCGATATAGAAGCAGTTTTTTACAGTGAAAGTAAAGAAAATGTTTTATGGGCACTCCTACGTGGATAAAGTATATTATGCAGCTCGTTTATAAACATCTCTAGATACTCGTTTTTATTAAACACTCGCTCGCAAGCTTCGCTCGTACCTAATAAAACTCGTAACTAAAATGGCGTTTATAAAACTTGATACATAATATACTATTGTGAGCAGTAATGAATTAAAATATATATTTATACAAGTTTCACATTAAAAGACAATAACAATGTTTAACAAAATGTTTAAAAAAATATTTAAAACGTTCTTGCATGGCAAGCTAATTTTTTTTTTAGAAATATTAGATCACCTTGTATATATATTATTTTAAGCTTCAGACAATATGTGAAATTACACATACATAATTTCTGCATGTAAATAAACCTGATTTATTTAATTACATATAACAAATCAAATAAAATGTTTTTGTAAAATTTACTGGTCACATAAATACAAGTAATATCTGTAGTAAATTATTGTTGTTCCGACATAAATAAAATAATACATATTGATAGCGATCGCCGTAATAGGATTCACGTATATAACCAAAAAGCACTTAGTTCGTTCATAATTAATGGCAACATCCATAACTCTTCAAATTTTAATGCTTTTAGATAAAGTTTACAGTTCAAGAGCTCACTATTTACTTTACAATTAACCAAAAGTATGTTATATGACTGTATAAACATTTAACATTTATCTGAAGGGATAAGTTATAATGTTGCGTCACTTAGTCCCTCAAGATTTCTCCCTATAAATTATTTAATTATGAGTGAATTACTAAGAATATCTCCTCGATATGATTTCACTTTGTACCCACCCCTCCAGACATAATTGAATTTTGCTCCCCGAAATCTTTTACATATTTACCAGCGCCATAAGTATTAAGACGCTGGAAATTGTATTCACTTAATTCGAAGCGTTAGTGCAAGCCCCATGCGTTTTTATTGTCAATAAAAGCAAATTTACTATGCTAAATTGAAGGGTTTACATAATTTCCCTTGGCGATACAACATGATTTTATGGATTTTCCATTATATTAAGTCTTTTGGATTTTCCAATAATTATATTTACTACTACTAGGTACATACAAAATTATGCCCATTTTGCCGATACAAAGTTCAGTGAATATTTTTAGTAATATTCTGTCCCTTGTCAAAATTTGTGTATTTATTTGAATAAGAAAAAAATTATGTTGATTACAACTGTATTATTAAAAAAGAATACAAACTTGAGATTTCAGTTTAATATGCAAATGGCCAATTCCACGCCAAATTATTTTTTTCAAATTTTGTGTAGATTATTTATTTGAACAGTAAAGATCATAAAAGAAATAAGTCGTCTAAATTTAAACAGCGTTATGCATTATTAAAAGCCTTAATTGAGAAAGTCCCCAATGGTAAAAAAAAAAAACAAAAATAGATATTATATCTTTTATTATACATATATAACATTATGTTTCCATGAATTAGATGACTTAAATAAAAAAATGTTTAGTTATGTTTGTAGACCTATTATTTTTTGTTAGATTTCTTAAAAATATTCATATATTATTATATCACGAGAACTATGAATTTAATTCCTTGTTTAAGTGAAAGTTTGTTTCCAACCTTGGGTAACTTTCTGAGCTGGTTTTAAAAATGTAATCAGAATTAGTGTATCTTTCATTGTTTTTGTATGTAACATTTTTTATATGGTTTATACTGGTCGTTTTTCAAGTTACATGTCAAAATAATGAATCTGGTGACAGGTTTAAAAAATAAGCTATAACATGTCAAAAATATGC